TTATTTTTAAATAATTCTAATAAAATCACTAATAATAAAATATAAAATTTGCCTTCGCTATTCTGTTCGTAAGCTTGACAAACATTGTCTTAACGAAGTGCTCCAACTAGAAGGTATGCCATAGGACTTTCCACTCCATATGTAAGTTGTAATGCTGCCTAAAGTTAGTTCTCTATTTCTAAATTCTTTCCTATTCTTAATAGGCGTAAAGTATTGTTATTGTTGACAAAAAAAGCCCTCTATTTCTGGATTTTATACTTTTTTTTTACTAATAAAGTAACTGCAACTATTACTGCATTAACAAAATAATAATATCATATTTTCAAAATATATATATTCAAAAGATATTTACTTTAAAATTATATACAACTATTTATAAAAATTTATTAAATTATATATATCCTATATATAATTTAATAAATTATATATAGGATCCTCAGGAGATTTATTACATCTTTGTTTTTTATGATAGTCGAGCACTCTTTTTGTAGCATTAACAAAATTTACACACATATTAAAATTTTTTATTTAGTGATTTACATTTTATTTAATTTAGAACACTATTTAAAACATTAAACATTTTAGATGTCAAAGATTATGAAATGTACACAAAATAGAAAATAAATTTATTTATTAAACATTTAAAACAATTAAAAAACAAGATGCTCTAAAAAAAAATTATAAAAACATTTTAACAAAAAAAAAGATGGCAAATATAAGAGATAATAACTATTATTCAATCATAGCCAATTATTTAAGGCTTATATAGCAACTTTAAACATCTCTCTCCAGAAGCTGAAAAGATTTTATTAACTCTATCTTTACCTGCAACAATTTCTGTATAAATTGACATTAAGACTAGACCATTTTATCACTTTTCTAACACTCTACTTCTTGAATAAGTTTTTAATCTCTAGGTATTGTACCTAGAATTAAGTCTTTAAATAAATTCAAGAATGTTGGGGAAACCAGTCATTGTCATAACTTTTGTTTAAGAAATACTAGATGGGGTTTTTGATTGATCTTTTTAAAGAGGCTTCCATAATCCAACTCTGCATGAATAAAGGTTGGATGCAAAGATGAAAATGATAGATATCCAGAAATTACTGAAAGTAGATTTTCCTATCTTAGTTTTTAGGTAAATTAATATTGCAGTTGGAACTGCAAATGTCCCATACAAACCAACATGCTTTCTGTTTGAAATCTTTTATAACTAATAAGATCATTAATAAGATGGTACAGTAGAGGTAAAGTGGTAGAAAGCTTAAAATAATCAGATGATGAGTGATTATGAGTGATTTGCTTTCCACCTTTTCTAGATTTTTGTTGTTTTTTTTACATTTAAAGCCATCAGGGTTGGGGCTATTATTATATATAAGGTTATTATTATTATATATAGGCTAATTCAAAAGCAATATTAAACCAGTGGTGGTGATGTAGTGATATAAATCAATACCAAATTTAATTTCTTGAAGCGTTTTTTTTTATTTTTCAATTTCAAGATTCTGAAATATGAGTGATGCCGTATTGCTTATCTTGGAGCCTAATTATAATCTAAAAAATTCAATCCACCAAATTTTTGTTAAAACTAAAGTTACACTGAAAGAAAATATGAAGAGTCTTTTGCTAAAAAAAATGCCTAGACTTTTCCGTTTTGAACTCAAAAAGTATAACAGACATAGATTAGCTTTGCTTCATCAACAGAAAGATAAATATTTAAACATGCCTGTAATTTTCGACTATAGGAACGTTTAAATAATTAAGGACAGTCAACAAACCTAAAGAACTCTTTACGAGTATTATAGTTATTGTCTATATACTTTATAACAATAGACTACTGTTTAAGATTGGCACTATCAGATGCTTTATCACCTAAAATTAAAAAGTATTTGCTTTTATTGATTTCAGAATTAAGAAACTTTTCAAAAGACTTACTACAACACTCTATAAGTTGATTTTGTGTGGTTTAAGAAATATGCGACATTTTTAGGGGCTGATATTAAATAATCTTATAAGATAGCGTCACCTGCATAAATTTTAAAATTAAGTAGTTCAAAAAATAATTGTCACTGTTGTTGTTCTTGTTACCCATAAATAATGACGTAACCATGACTACATCTCAACCTATTCTTGGCCATGAATAAAGTCTAGTTATCTAAGCTAGAATATTATATAGATAGAATAAAAGTTGAAGTTTTAGTAATAAATAAAATATATCACATAAAAATATCAAGTTTATGTTTTTATTTATTTTAACATTTGCTAATTTGAAAACACTAAATGTTGCGAAGTGCTTTAAAATATATTGTTTGTTTACCTGTTAAAAAAAGAATTAAATTTATAAAAATAAAAATTTATGCAGAACTTCTTTTTTAAACTCTTTACAATAAATTTGATTAAATTTTTAATTTAAATTTAAAAATATTATCACTACTTTTACTTCGTAAAACTAACAACTGAAGTTGTTGAGGTTTCAAAATATGTTGTTCAAGCAAAAGCTGAAGCAGGCTGACCACTTTTATTTTAAAAATCAAAAACATTTTCAAAAGAAAATATTGGTTTTCAAGAACAAATTTATTTTATATACATTAAGAAACACTAATAATAAGCTAAATTTATTCTCCTCACTTTCAATTCACTCAACGGTGGTAAAATTCACACAACGGTGGTAAAATTCAATTAACAGACTTTACTAAACTTGTTAGTTCTCAGAGCAAGTAGTATTGTAGAACCTGGACAAAAAGTAGTAAAACATAGGAATAAATTTTTTATAGAGACATATTATATATCATTGGAACCTTGTCACATGTTTTGAGTTTTTTGAAAAATGGCGCACTAAAATGTAGATGTAGGTTTTTCATTATATTCAAAAAATTAAGAAATATGAAACATTATTCATAGATATCATAATTTTATTATTAAAAAAAAATGTGTTTAATAGCCAATATGTTATTAAGTGATTGAACAAGAACAAAAAAAACGGTCAGGATTATGGACTGACAGAATCTGATAAAATCATGATTTTATCAGATTCTGTTTAAACTGTGATCACTGTAAAGTAGAGGTCAGGTTATTGGTATTATTGATTTGACCGAAAATGCGTTGAAGTTGTGGACGAAAATACTGTATCAAAGCACAGAAGTGATGCGATAAGCAAACTAACATTTCCGTATAAATCTTGACAAATTAAAAAAAATGTGTCCTGGAAGAATGAAACCTGATAGTGACGACTTTAAAAAAGATATAATCAAGGTTTTTTGCACATAACCCATTCATAGTCGGAGATGAACTTGTTAGTTTATACTGAGGTTAGGTTGATAATCAGAAATGCGTTACCTGTGATCATTAGAAAAAGAACATTAAAAAACAAAGAACTGAATGGAAAAACCTACACAAATTACTATTTCAAAAATAAAATTCAAATTCTCCGGCGTACTCTCGAGTTCCTAATAAACGCTCCCCCCCCTCCTCCATTTATTAATTTTTGGATATTTTTCCACCCCCCTCCCCCCCGTTTATTAATTTTTACTTGTTATCAACAAAAAAATTATATAACTCAAAAGTAAACTTTCAGTGTAAATAGATTTTACAAATTGTCGACCTATTAAATCTCGATTTGCTAAAAATGAACTTTTTGTTTATTTCTCAACAAAGCTTTGGTTTTAATTATAAGGTTTAATATGCTGAATATAAGTTTTATACTTAGCAAACTATTGAAATTATGATAAAACAGCCTAACCCTACCCTAACAGCTGTTAGAAAATGCGCTTTTGACCGCAAGTCAAATGCGCATTTGACTTGAACATGCATAATTTGCATGCTGAATAAACGGGGGGCTATTGAACATGCCCCCCCCTTCCCGTTTATATTATTTCAGAAAAAATCTCCCTCTCCCCCGTTTATTAGATTTTGACTAAAATTCCCACCCCCCGTTGTATTCGGCACTCGAGAGTAACTATTCAAGACAAAAATACTATAATTGACCTATTAACACTTTTATACTAAAATTGGTTTTTGTTATTGAAAGAAAGTTAGCGATTGAAATAGAGAATTTTACTTTCAATATAAATTATCACCATATATGGTGATAATTTATATTAGGATTTGAATTAGGATTAGAATTTTTAAAACAAAGTATTAATACATGTTCTAAAGGACACGAAGATCCATACAGAGATGGACACTGACAACGTGCCCAAAGAAATTTAAAAGAATCGTTAGAAAAAAAACAACTATAAAGAAACAAATAGTTGTTCCTTTTACAATAGATATTTGTTTAAGTCAAAAGATTTAATTTTTGAACGTTAAAATGTTAATGTTATAATTTGCATTTACAGCCCCGAGGTCGTATTGTTCCACATGTCAACAACTCGGTAAGAAAAGCTATACTTTCTTAAATCCAAGCGACACGTTTATTTTATAATTATGACCCCGGGTGTGGCTGTTATTGTCAATCGCAAAGAACTTAGATTGAACAGTACAGACAAGTTTACGAAAAATTTTAAAACAAGTTATCAAGTCGTTTTCAAGGCGCCGAACTTCGAGTGATTCGATACCAAGCATCTGTAATTATCTATTATGATCAAAAGATTTCTGAGGCTCCTTATTTTTTTTTTGTAAATTTTCGTTGGACACTTTCAACTAATTTAATCAATCCAATTTGGTGTGGCAATTATACTGGAGAACAATATTCTAAAATTGGTCGTACAGGTCGTATTTTAAAAACCCGGAAAATTATTTGGGTAAAATATCCAGAACATTCTTTCCATTATATTTTGCTTTCAACTTTTTTTTTAACTTTTCTTAATTTTTGTACGAGAAACGATAAAAAGTTTGAAAAACAATTAAATTACTAAAATATTGACCCCCTGCCCCCTATCTCGTAAACCCCATTTGCAGAGCACTCCTTATGAACGATGTTTTACCTAAACAGGCATTCATGTAAGTGATCAACAGTATTTAGTTTTTATTTAAAATTTAATAAACATGAAAACGAAAAATGCAGTACGATGATTTATTTTAATAATCTACTTCAATTTCTTCTTTGGTCTTAAATTGTTTGAATGACCACATTTCTTCTTGCGGCAGTTCTTTGCGCGGATGTGAAGACGAGCATAGCATCTGTTATAAACGCAAAAAACAATAATATAGTTCAACTATGAATAACAGGGTAACCACACTTTATTTGAGTTAAAAATTAAAAGAATTTAAATTAATCAAATATTATGATATTTTAGGATTTATTAGAAGGCTACCCTAAATAATCAAGTCAGCATCAGAAGAATATTCAAAATCAATGGATTTTCAGATGACACGCAATTCCATTGTCATCATTTGCTGAATACTGACTTAAAGAATTATGTACTTACTTTCTGCAAATCATCTTATCACAATTGTACTTTTGGGCTAAAATACGCAAACTAGGCTCAATAACACCACCTCTCAATCTTAATACCAAATGGAGAGTCGATTCTATTAAAATAAGAAAAAATATTTCAAGTTACTATAACATAAATAGTATTTTTCATCCTAAAAACTTAATGCAATTAAGTTGCTTACAGTAAAAAATAAAAAATATTAAACTTCGATTTTAATTAATTATTCTGCAACCTTAAAGTTATAAAAATACTCAAATCATATATTATAATTATGTCAAACAAAGGTTTAACAACAAATAATTATTATTGATAAATTTATCAGAATAATATCTATATATATAAAAAAAATAATTAGGAGAGACAATGAAACATTGAATTTGTGGCGATGTCTTAAGTTTAGACTTTCATACAGTGAAACAATTACAAGTAGAGCTGTTTTGACAAAAAAATATTATCATTAGGCCAACGAGGGGTTTGAAATTTGCATTTTTTTGTTGACAAAGTTTAATTTTTAAAGTTGCTAAGTTTTAAATGTATGTCGTATTAGTAAGTAATATATTGTAAACTACAATCCATTAACTCTTTACTTCATCAAACAGAACTGTTTTCTATTAATAGGCATCAAGTAACTTGATATAGCATTTATATAGTGGGTACTAACTTAAAATTTTACTTGTCTTACAAAAAAATTGTTAAAAAAAAAAAAATCAAAAGTTAAATGTTGCCCCATTCTTCCCTACTGTAATCATTTTTTTATTTTTACAAGTTGTTACTAAATGAAATAACTTAGGTATTATTTCATATTACAGGGTTGCCATTGTTATTTAGGAACAAAATTCCTTAATTTTCCCTGATTTTTTTTTTTTGCTTTTTCCCACTTGATTTCCCCCTTTTGAATTTTGCTTGATATTTCCAGCATTTAAACGCCCAAATTTAACATTAACACTTCCCTAATAAACCCAGAGCATTTTTACCTCTAAAAAAACAGATACTATAATCCCCCAATAAGCAATAAACCAAATAATTTGCTTGAAAATTAAAATAAATAATCAAACACTTCAATCAACATATGTAATCATTCTTTGAACCAGGGTATATTTAAAATGGATATGTTCAACAGGCATTGAAAACCTGTCAGACTTATTTTGGGTACAAGATAACGAAATTCAAAAAAATGTAATGAATGTAATAAATTTCTAATTGTATGTTTTACATACATTATTTAATACTTTTTTCTTTTCTTCCCAATATTTCCTGATCTAAAAGCATTATCACACTATTTCCTTTTGCTTGGAGTTTTCTATTTTCCTCCAAATAGTTTTTTCTTCCATACTCAGTCGAATCATACTTTTAAGTAAATTCTTTGCTGTGAGGTGACCTAAATTTAGAGTCAAAGTATTTGAATTCAACATAATTTAGATTGCTGCTCCAAAACTGAATATTTAGATCCAATTGGACATTTTTGCATATTACCAGCCATTTTCCAATTAAAAGGTCACCTGACCATTTTTCTTTGAATTACGTTGCAAACATTAAATTAATGTAAACTTAATGATTAATTTCCCTGATTTTCCCTGAATTGGTGGCAACCCTGTTTTAGTAACATTTTATTAAGAATTATTTTATTTTAGTAACATTATTTAACATATTTTTAAGTCTTGCAAGAACAAAAATTGTTTTTACACTACATAAAAGAGATTTACATTTATAAAAGTTTGCTACCTTTTTGAATATTATAATCAGACAAAGTTCTCCCATCTTCCAGTTGTTTACCAGCAAAAATTAATCGCTGTTGATCTGGAGGAATTCCTAATATATAAAAATTTAGTAATAAAACTTAAGGGCAAAAAATAAAATTAAAAACAATTGACAAAATCAACAACAAACTTAGATACATTTACTTAGATAGCAGGTAAACATTGCTTTTATATTACATATAATACATTAACAAAATAGCAGAACATGTCTAGCTTATACACACACACACACACCTAAAAATACTATATAGAAATCTCGGCTTTATAGAAATAGACATCTAGTTCTAAAAAGAGAAAAAAATAATTTTTCATAAATTGTGATTTAAATGAATCAATAATTTTGGATATATTAAATAAGAAGGTAGAGCAGAGATGTTAATTCTAATATGTACTATCAACAAATTTGACATCATTAAACAAAGAAAATACAAAAAAGAACATACAGCTAGCACTGTATTGCTTGACTAGTAAACTATAAGGTATGAAGACTAATGATTTTAATAATCAATTTAAGAGGCATTATCACATTTTTTTAAACCAATTTCTTCCACTTTTATTAACTCCCAACCAAGTAAGAGGTTACATATAGACTTATTTGGAGTAAATTTGTTACCAATGACAAATAAAAAAAAAAAAAAAAAACACTAACCTTCTTTATCTTGGATTTTAGCTTTTACATTTTCTATAGTATCAGCAGCCTCTACCTCAAGGGTAATAGTCTTCCCTGTTAAGGTTTTAACAAATATCTGCATGTTGACCTAAGCAAAAAAAATTAGAGGGTAAAAATTTAATAAATTCAAAAATAATTTTTTTTAAAAAAAGATATATATTGCTAAACTTTATTTAGAAACATATTAACTAAGTTTATTTTGTATCTTGATATTTTCCACAAACAACATTATTGTTATTTCTGGCTTATTCCACAAGTTTTAATTTACCACTTTTGCAAATTATGTTCAGAATTTTTTAAAAACACATGCAAAATGCAAAGTGGCTAATATATTGAATTAGTATAAACATACATTAAAAAAAGGTTAGTTCACTGCTTTAAATCTGAGAAGGCCACTACAGTCCAGAAGTTGTGGTTACAACCATCACTTAACCCTATAACCCCAAAACACTAGCATTTACAAACTAAGCCGCTGTGCGCAAAAAACAAGTTGAGTACAGTACTGCCAGATACGTAGAGTGGATCTAACATAGAGCTCATTTATTAGCCGAGATGTTAATTCTAATATGTACTATCTACACTCTACACCACTACCACATATAAATGGCTATCAATAGGAATGTATTAAAAATTTAGATTTATCATTATCAGTACTTATTAGGGCTACAAATGTAAATTTTTTTAAAAAAGTTTAAACTCAAACACTATCGACCTATTTTTGGAAAAGTTTGAACTTTTAAAAATAGTTTCTATTTAAAATTACAAAATATAAAGTTACAAGTTAAATATAAAACTGTTAATTTATTTATTGACTATTTTTACTGTACCTTATTTTGAAAAAATCTTTTTATTTGATTTCAAATAAAAATATTTAAGACAAGATATTTGATTTAAAAAAAAAAAAAAAAAAAAATCAAATATCTTGTCTTAAATCAAAAATTTTGATTTAGAAAGTAAATGGTTTTAGAAAGTAAATACATCTTTTTGAGTATGAAAACAATACAAAGGCTTGAGAGCCCCCCCTTCATGAGATAATACTTTATTACACCCTTGTCAACTTCATTTGAAAATCAGATCTTTTAATAAAATATTTACAGTTCCTTAGCCAGAGTCAATTCTTTGTTATAATTTCTAATACCATTATCATTATTGACTTTTTTTTAATTAACATCAGACTTATATATATATATATATATATATATATATATATATATATATATATATATATATATATATATATATATATATATATATATGAATAATCCTTAAACAAGTCGCAAAAAATTTTTTTTTTCTATTTTAAAACTAAGTTTAAATTATTAGAAGAAAAGAGTTCAAACTTATAAATTAAAATTTTGGGGTAAAGTTAGAACTAGAACATGCTTGAACTAACAACCCTAATACTAATAAATAATAAAAGCTTTTTCAGCCAACTTAACCAGAAAAATTTTACACAACTGCCCTTGAATTTTATAGATATGGCTGTTTTTATTTCTATATAAGCCAATTCTTAATAAATTTTAGTCAAAAAAAAAAAATAATTCATAGATTTCTTTACATCACATATATACATTTCAACTTTTTTGAATTAAATTTTATATAAATTAACATACTGTACTATAAATTATAAAATAGTGACAGAAGGCATCATATTTACACTACAAAATTAATATTTTCAGAAAGATAAATTATTATACATAAATTGTTAATTTTAAAAGAAATTCAAACATCAAGGATGTCTAGATAACAAATACCTACCAGAAAAACCTACCCAAAGTAAATTCTGCATAAAAATAGATAAAATAAAATACACCTTAATAACTACAAGATTACTATTTTATTAGGACCAAATATTTGAATTCTATTATAAAATTAACTCAATGTAAAACCAAAATAAAGATTTGGTAACAATATTGTGGATGTTACTTTAGATGTGAACGTATTCTAAACAACATCAAAAAAAACTTATTACATACTCCACACAAATTTAGTGTTGGTATTTGAAACGCATTTTTCACTAACCATGCAAGCAACTACTTTGTGGCTAAGTATGAAAGCTCATAGCCAAATGTTTTATCACCAAATTAGCGCCAATTCAACAGTCAAACATAGCAACATTTGTCTTAACAATGTGTTAAAACAAATTGTTTTAACAATAGTTAAAACAATAATTTTATCAATAATTCTGTAATTCTAATAATGTTTATATGGTGTCACTTGAATGACTCCTTCCTTGATCAATTTTTTATTATTTTGTTATAATTAATATTATTATTACAACTATTGTTATTAATATTATTATATTTTTGTTATTATATTATTGTAAATTTTGAGGAAAATAAATATCTTGGTGTTGTTGTTATTGCAACTAGATTTTTTATAAAAAAAAAATGACCATTTCATGTTGAAATATTTTGTTGTATCTAATATTTTTCATGTTAAAATATTTGATACAACTTTGATTTGCGACAGGATTTACAGTATAATTAGATAGTATTAAGAAACAGTCTAAAAGAATCTTGTGCAATTCCTGAATTTGTCATAATTTTAAAAATCCAGCATGATTTTATTATAAAGAACTTTTATTTATATTACATTAGATGAAATATATATATATATTATATATGCATTAAATATATATATTTTTAAAACTAGACTATTTTTTATGCATATATATTTTAACTATGATATCTTTTAAGGATCTAGATTTTTGTTGTTTGAACAAGTATGAAGTTATTTTTTGATCTAATTACTTGAAAGGAGACTTATATTTAAAATATAAAAATATTTCTTAATTTTATAAGTTATTACATATTCTAATTATGGATGCATGTAATAAAAATGATTTTTCACATGTAATATTGAATTAAAAATTGTAAAAAATTTTCACATAATCATAGTAAGTAAATAAAAAACTAAAATGTCTTGAAACTTAAATCATCTAGTGTTGTAAATTTGAAGTTGAAAAAACTTTAATGAAGTATAAAAGTGTAAAAGATTACAATTACATTTTTCTATACTAAAATCAATATGTTGACTGTAACATTTCTTCATTTTATAAGGGTTTCAGTGCCGCTTTTTATACATCAACAATACAAACATATAATAAAAAACTTAGTGGTTAAAAATTAAAATACTCTAAGACAATAAAAAGTAGGTATAACAATATGAATGTATGTATGCATGTATGTATAAATACATGCATGCATACATACATTCATATATATATATATATATATATATATATATATATATATATATATATATATATATATATATATATATATATATATATATAAATGCACGTTATATAGATTCAATGTATTAGATATTAGTGGAACGTTAGATGTTGATATTATTTAAGATATATGCACAGATATATACAAACTTAAATTTTATATACATATATATATATATATATATATATATATATATATATATATATATATATATATATATATATATATATATCGATAGTTACTAGCACAAAGAGAATACGTCCACTAACCATTGTTTTAAGAAATCTGAATTTGAAAGTTTGAAAACATACAATAAATCATGATATTTATTTGTCATGATTTTTTTACCAAATGCATTCCTCAATTAATTCTGTCATGTTTTTTACGATTTTATTTTTATTTCTTTTACATACTTTAATAAAAAAATTTTAAAACTAGTAAAATTAGTAAAATGTTGGACATATTCCCTTTGCGCTCTTAACCATAGATATATACATATATATATATATATATATATATATATATATATATATATATATATATATATATATATATATATATATATATATATATATATATATATATATATATATATATATACATATGTATGTATGTATGTATGTATGTATATATATACACGTTTCAATGGATTCAATGGTGTAGATATTATTGGAACGTTAATTTTCATTTAAAATTTTTGAAACACTTGGTATCCATTTCAAGTTTTGAAAAAATTAACGCAAAGGTTAAATATTTACAACATATAAGCTACATATATATTTCCAGATACTTATAACGTATAAAGATATCGAAAATGACAAATACCTCCTCGTGGTGGACTACTCGAAGGATTTATGTCTAAAAGAGAACGCTACGGCCGTCGTTCATAAATAAAACCGGGTTGGTAATGCCACGCTCCTCCGTTAGATAGGGCCGCTGTTTTATTACTATAACTGTAGGAGGGGGGTAGTATTTCTAAAACGACCGTACAAAACATAACATAGAACGGTTATCTTCGTTTGATATATATATACAGTGGCGTAGGAAGGTTTTTAAATGTTTGAAATAAGCAACTTTTAAACAAAAAGAATATTCCAAATTTCTTTACGTTCGTTTACGTATGACAAAAAGATTCTTCACAAAGAAAAATTACTGTGATAGGAGAATGGAAACAAGAAACACTAAATATTTAGCCCCCCTGCCCCAAACGTGAGAGCAACAAGTTGATGAAATTTTTCTAGTAATATTTTCAACTAGACATAAGTTTTAAAATTCATAATAAAATATTTTAGTGTTCAAAAATTATGACCATATAAACTTTGCAACCCCTCAAATTGAGGGTGGCTCAAACTTTGTATGGTCATAATTTTTGAGCACTAAAATTTTTTACTATGAACTTTAAAATTTATCGATGAGTATAAGTCTAGTTGAAACTAGGACATACCTTATAGGGCCAGAGTGAACCATGATCATTTAAAAATTAAAATCCTCTCATTTGGCGATAAATATACCAAAATTTGAATGCCAAAGAAGCGTTTTTTATTGCAGTTAAAATTGCAAATAATAAGGCTATTAGATAATGTAGTTGTTGCATTAATAAAGAGGATCATGACATGATGAGCAAGTATATATGCAAGTACAATCACAATGAAATCTTCTTGCCTGAATTTATTTTTACTCATAGCCAAAAAGTAAAGTTTGCAAAACAGTCAAAAATGTTTTCAAAATTTAGTGAAATTTTTCTGTACACTTTAAGTAATGCTAATCCGACTTGTCTGTTTTCTGTCCTTGGTGTTAATAGCCAATTTTTAATTGCAGAATTGAGAAGTTACACTTACAGAACATAACTTAATAATCTAAAACAACTTGAGAGTGATTGGATGTTGCATCTGGTCACACAAATCAAAAACAAAAGAAAGATCATTTTCCTTAATCCTTTATCCATCTACATTTACACTGCTGTAGTTAAATTTTCTATAGTGACTTAGTATTCAAAACTTACCGTGCAGTTATGTTTTGGATACTAAATCCAGAAAGGACGTTTAGGCATTACTGATCGCAGAAAGAGTTTTAACAATATCTTTATGATTCAGTGTAACAATTGTTTTTTGACAACAAAGAATAGATTTGAAGACATTGCAATTTTTCTGAGAAAGAATTTATGCCCAGTATAAGTGCAAAATCTTTTTTTAAAACAACTGACTGAGCTCATTTGTTAAAGAAACCACATGTACAGCACATCCTAAAGACACAATAAAATTACTTTCCCTAATTGATAATAATAAAACTTAATTTTGATAAAATGTTCTGTCATTGGTCACTTGCCTAACATTGATTCTGTCATTCTGCCATTTAGATAAAAATAAATATAAATGCGGCCGTGGCGCAATGGTTACAGCGCTTGCTTTATAAGCAGGAGATCCAGGTTTTAAATGAGCTCTGGACATATTTTCGCGTAACTGTAAGGAAGAAGGGTTAAACTTCTGGCTAAATGCACTTTCGCGGTGCTCTGTGACAAAACCCTTAGGTCTTCTTGGGGCACCCAAATAACAACAACAAAAAAATAATAATAATAATTTTTCAAATGCATTATTTTTTGTGGAATCTCAACACTAAACGTCAACAAAGCGTCATGTCTTTGAACCCATTATTTTTTGCAACGTAAAATTAGTTGTGAATTTAACATGTTTTTTATAATAAAATTTAATTTAAATTAAGAATCCAGTTAACTCGGTATATTTATTTTGTCTGACATAGCGAATGTCCGAGTTAAACGAGACTTTCGGTATGTTTAGAGAATTTAAGGGGAGTTGAAAATTTGTCCAACTTAGTAAAAGTCCAACTTATCCATGGTCCGAGTTAACAGGATTCTACTGTACAACAGTTAAAATTTTTACCACCGATTCTTAATCCAAGTATTTTCAAGTTTGAGGACGAGGAGTGCGAGAAATTTTTAAAGAATGTGATTTTACTAAACTCTCATCCTGATTTCTTATATATCAGTTTGAAAAATGTTATTAGCAAGAATGAAGGTTTTCGATAATATTTTTCAATCTGATGGATACTTTCAAGTTGTAAAAGAAAACGCATTAAATACATTAAAGAATAGTTCATTACAATAAGAGGTAATATAGATCGATAAAAGATTGTTAAAAGAAACTGAATGCCAAGAAAAATGATCAAAGTTTAAGTCTTAAAGTAGCAGCCATTAAATTCTTATTCCTTAAGAGTACCAATGATATAAAAGATCATAACAAATTTCATGGTCATAACAGATTTCATTTCATAACAGATTCCAATGATATAAAAGATCATAACAGATTTCAAGTATCTTCTTTATCCAGTTCATTTTTTATGATGAAACATTTGTTACAAGAGTTAATGCAAAAGATGTATTTGATTGGTGTGATTAAGGTGGTAGGGATACAAATAGACCATTTTCTGAAATTTGTCATGGCAACATTTTTTAGTTTATTAAAACTGTTAAATACATTAAGAGAAATAGTTTTCATAAAAAAGTATTTTTTTTTAAACAAAAAGTTCATAATGGGGGAAAATGTGTTCATTTTGACTCTTACGAATGGTGTTTTTGAAACATGATATCTTGATAAAACAAAACAAAAAAAAATGAAAATCTTTTTGCACATATGTATATTGTTATATTATACTCCGGATGACCTTTAGGATTTGCATAAATCACTTTACCCAAAGAGTAAAGTTTTTGTAAAATTCTACTTTTTTTCAACAAATCTAGATAGAAATTTGAACCTAAATTTATTTTATTTAAACTTTGTTGGGTATTAAGAGTTTTATGTAAAATCCAAGGGTCATCCGGAGTATTAGATTATATCAAACACAAATTGAAAATTTCAAATCAAATACTCAACTCTCGAGTTATCATGTTTGGAGTTATAGCAAATATGCAAAAAATTAAAAACAGAGAAAAATGCAAAATAAAATGTTTTTAAAAAAAGTTATCTTCTCAGTAAGAACCAGTTTGATATAAATTCTTTTTCACTCATTTTTGTTAAAAAATCTGGCTCGCAATCTTTTTCTACGCTTTTTTTCTGCATTCGTGAATTTTTTATCCATTCACTAAATTATCTAACATTTTTTCCACAGCCTATGAAAATTTCCCTTTTTTCAACCCAAAGTGTTCCTAAGCCTTCAGTATTTCATTCCACCCATCATTAAAACAAATAAAAGCTAAATGTACACCCATTTTTTATGGTTTACCTGCCAATAAATGCAGTTTTTGATAAATTTTTGTTAATAATACAAAGTGTAAAACTTTCAACAGTACAACTTAACAGCTTATTTATCTGTCAAAGATTGATTGCGACTTCAAAATATAATATTTAGACCGCTAAAGACATATAGCAGATACACCTTAGTAAAGATTGATTGTGACTTCAAAATATAATATTTAGACCGCTCAAGACATATAGCAGATACACCTTAGTAAATGTTTAGAGTAAAATAAAGCATATATTATGAGTGGAAAATAAAGAATAAACATCTGTTCATGGTAACTAAAGACGTTACTATGTACTCTGATGCAACCTAAGGATGTTTTAAGGTGTAAATATGAACCAAAAAACATTTTTTATTGTTTTAAATGTTAGTTGCATGAAAATAGACATATCAAAAGCTAAAACTCTATATTAAAAAAAAATTGACAAAATTTTTTTTTCCGATCATTTATTTATACCCTATCACCTTAAAAAGGATCTGGATCTATAATCGTATATAAACCATCAAGCGGCCTATTAGATGCCAGCAGTGCTTCATCATTGATGAAGTAAAAGATGTAAAAACTATTTTAGTTTGGTCAAAAGTTAAATTTTTAAAAAATTTTTACGATCTTTTCATGAAAAGTTATAATTTGAGGGATTTATTGAGTTGTAAGCCAAGATTTAGTTAACCCAAACTTATACGTATCAATCATATCAATCAATCAATCAATCAAACAATCATATATATTCTGAAAATTAATTTCATGGATATTTACAAATAGTAATTCTACTAATCTTAAGTAAACACCAAAAATACAGATCTTTATATATAAAATTAGTAATAATTATAAGATAATAATAAAAATAATATTTATAGTAACAAACATATGAACCACAATAATAATAATAATAAAAAAAACAATAACAATTATAATAGTAATTGTAATAACAATAATAATCGAAATTATAAGTCACATGTTATTCATAAACACAATAGCTAAATATATATATATGAGTTAGTTACAAACAGTTGACTGAAAAAACGTAACAACTAACAAGGACATCAAACAGTTATTTAAATTGAAAATAATAAAATAATAATGATAATAGTAAAGTTAAAAGTAATAATAATAGTGGTTACGATAAATATTCAAAATTACTAGTAATAATACTATAACAAAAAACATAACAAAAATATGATAAAAATTAAAAAAAAAATGAAGAAAAACAAAAAAGCATTAAAAAAATGAGAAAGTTCAATTTTGTTACATACATACACAAACATAAATATAAAGATGTAAACACATACTTACCCACATGCATAGATACACACATATTTGCACATAAAAAAAAAAAAACGATGCAAACAACGCATTAAAACATACAACAATATGAACTATACACTACATTTCCCAATATACTATACGCAAGAATACAAAAATATAAAAAAACAACAAAACAAACGTCCCTCAAAATAAATAAAATTAAAATTTTTTTTTTTTTCGTATCTTCCAAAATGGAGCGATTTCTATATTTTATTTTAATTCTTTTTAATTACTTTCCATTTTCGAATGTTTTTTTCTTTAAACTTTGGTATTATTGCTTTGCTATTTTTCTTTGCTATTATAACTTTCTTTTCTCGTTTCTTTTTATGTTTTTTTTTTTCTTTTGTTGATTAGTTTGATGTACGTATATAAGA